AATTTATACAATGCTAAAAAATTTTGGATAAAAAAATTTATACAATGTTAATTTTTTTCGCCACGGAGGGCAGTAAAAATCTGTCGGAAAAAGTGTATTATCAATCGAGTTTAAATTTAATATAAATCGATTTATAATTTTTATGTTGTGTGGTTGAGATGAAAACTTAGTGTCATGAGCGGGATTCGAACCAACGACCTCCGGCTTTAATGTAAACAACCCCCCCCCTCCGGAGAGTGTCGAGTCCCTGGAATCTTAAGCTCCTTTGATTTTGGGTAAATTGCAAGTTAAACGCTGAAAAAGATAAAAGTAAGGAGGTGCGAAAAAAATAGTTGCTTTAAATTATTGAACTTTTACTACATGCGTCAGTGATGAATCGAAAAGCAATCGTACTGTGGATTGGAGTAGTATTTTAATAGCTGAACTGTGCCACATTTGAATTTTGAATTATACACTTAGTTAGAAAGTACGGAAGAGAAGAATTGAATATTTAAAAAGAAAAGAAAAAAAGGACAATGAGACGGAGCCGAAGCTGGAGTTCCGCCGGTTTCAAACCTGATTTAATAGCCGTGGTTTTATGTAATACAAGGCTCCGTCCTTTTTTCAATCCTAAAAGAAGGTGGGATCGACTCGGTTGATTGTGGGGTTGACTCACTTGGCATCGGACCAGAACCGAGAGCCGAGATCGGTGAAGGGAAGCCACCGAGTTCAAAGGGATGCCGCCGACGTTTCCCAAAGCCAAAACCCAACCCGAACCCACCCACGGCCTCGGACGCCCCTCCTCGTCCACCTACTCGACCTACCATATCCAGAGACCACATGGTTATCTTATTGTCTCCTTTGAACTTGGCATTGTCGATGTAGGAAGTTCAAAGGAGCCGCTTTTCTTTATATGTGTGCTAACCAACACAAACACATTACCGCCGCCCCGGTACACGTCCGGCCGGCTTTTTTTTTTCATCCTATAGAAAAAGAAAACTTTTACTTATAAATTATTTGTTTATACGATAAGGAAAACGATCTGTGACGTGCAGGATCTATCAAGTATCAACAAAATGTCAAATAATTTGTAGATACTTGATTCACAATAAAGCATAGGCATAACCATCTATCAACACGGTATAAATATGATTTATCTCAGGGTCTAGGAAACACGATATATGAGAACAATTCACTGGTTTCATCATCAGTTTTAAAATGATGCTTCGGTTGTCGTCGAGACCATCGAGTTCTTTCGGCTGACCACCGACCTCATCAATGTCTCCAAGAGACTGACTAAAAACGGCCAATTTAGAGAAAATACAGCAAAAATGAATATCAATGTTTTAGGAAATTAGGCTTTTATCTGATTTCTGATCCTGTTCCGTGTCTACCCAGCTTTTATATGCCAAATGCGTTTCAGCATTTTCATTACTGGGTCTGAGAACTGTGAGGCCAATGCCAAAATGCTCGAAAAAGAATAACCAACAGATTCTTCATCATCCCGCAGATCTTCATCGGAAATCTCACAAGGTTAATCTCCGGTGTAATAAAGCTGATTTAATTGATTGACCATCGGCCTATTTCATAATTTCTGTATGTATTCTGGTCGTTTCCGTTTATCAGGGACAGTTGGCTCGTCAGAGCGTTAACTTCTCGCCATCTTCAGTGCTGGGTACGGAAACACCTAAGATAGGCTGAATACGACCAAACTGGATCATCACTAAGCATACTCCAAGAGGAAATGTCATAAGGTACAAAATTGATCTCGGGTTTGATGAAGTCGGTGTGTTTGACCTTCTCATCATTTTTGGAACATTATTGTAATTGTAATTTGACCGTTTTTGTTCAATCTGGTACATCTATCCTCAGACGTGTTTTGGCATCTCGTAATCTTCAGAAGACAGAGCCAGGATAAGAAGGATAAAGACAGGATAACCGAAATGATAGGAAACGATCAAATTACAGGTTGCTCACCAGATTCCAGAAACAACGTTTAAATTTGGTCCATTTCTGGTCTAATGAAAATTATCCTTGTGTTCGACAATTGTTTTTCTTTCTTTACGTAGTTTGGTAATTTCTTAACATTTTGGTCCATCTAGTTTCGCTGGTTATTTGACTGGCACGTTTCGTAATTTTCATTCTTCGAATCTTTAAGACAGAACCAGATGAGATAAGCAGCCAAATGAAATTCTTATTCTCAGTAGTTTGGTGATTTCTTTCTGATCCGTTTATCCTCGCTGGTTTATTCTGTTAGGCGTATTTCTGCATCTCGATAGATTCACTGGTTGGTCTGGAAACAGCGATAACAGACAGCCCAAAATGATGAAAAATAAACCAAACAGCTTCATCCACTCTACACATCCAAAGATCGATTCTCAAAAGATTCAAAAATGATTAATCTCAGGTCTAATAAAGATGGTCTAAATGTTTGATCTTTGGGTTTTGCCATCCATTCTAGAACCTATTTGTAATTTGACCGTTTCTGTTCATCCGCCTATCCTCGCTAGTTAGTACTCAGGCGTGCTTCGGAATCTTCAGCTGACAGAACCGGCTAGGATAAGCGGATCAAAATGACACACGACCAAATTACAGGGCCCTCATCCCACAGAACCCAGAAAAAATCTCACACGGTACAAAGTCGGTTCGAAAAATATCATGTATGATTATTGACTTTTTCATCCTTTATATAGTTTGGTGGTTTCTTTTCGTTTTTGCCCGTCTATTCTCGCTGGTTTTTACTCATCAGGTGTTTCGTAATCTTGAACGTACAAGACCAGACCAACGGAAAGGATCAAAAGTTTTTTCAGTTCTCAGCCCTCAAGAAGAAATCTCACAACTTACATATTTTCCAGTTGTATCGTAGTATCTTATAATTGGCAACCGAAAACACGAGAATTGCAGGTATATTTTATATTTGTGGCTCTGCATGATTTGTAAGCTTAAAAATAAAATAACAGATCCCTGGAAAAATGGTTACCAAGTGAAATTATCGGAGCCGCAAGCACAAAATTAAAAAAAAAATCCCGTTGATAATCTGAAATGAAAAGTGGGTGTTGTACGATAATCTAAATTTTCGCTAGTTGCCGGATAAGGACGATAAACCGCGGTGTTCTCGAAAGAAAGTGACGACGGCAGTTTGATCGAGCATAAGCGGGTTCAGCTGGGGCATAATTCATATTTTAACCCGGTATTGCCAGGGGGGGTTACGTTTCCTCCTTCGTCGCGACACTTTTTGGTGAGATACGACCGTTAATAATTGTTTAAAAAAATAATTTTGATTGCTCTGTGAAAGGTTGTTGTAAGTACAGGAACAATTTCGAACAAATGTTTTTTGGACTCGTTTAATAGGAGATCATGAAATTTAGGAATGGGACCATAAAAGAGACGTGTACGTTTGACGGTCGGGATCTAATCCTACTGCCACAATGGTTCAACACTTTTAATTCTTTATATCAACAACGCGTAATGTGATAAAAAAACACGTGCTTTTCCCATCTCGGCTAAATTATGCGAATTTTTTTGTACAATTGGCGCTTATGAGTAAATTCTGTTTTTATTTAAAAAAAAAGATTAATATAATATGTTTTAAATAGTCAAAGCATACCTAGAACCACGAGTCAGTTTGAGGTGATGAGGGCTAATTATGAATCTATGTACGGGCAAATCAATCTATGGTCAATTCGTCAATGCAGGATTTTCTTTTTTTTGTAAAGGATGGTTCTTACTCACAGGCTTAGATATTGTATGTTCTTGGGGTCGATGAGTTCGTAGAGCAACAGAGTAAAGTTGAAAAATGGAATAGGAGCTGTCGAAAAGAATCTCAGCAAAACGTACTGGAACCGGTCAAAAATCTAGGCCTGAGAGATAGTTACGGCATTCTATGCATTAAGAAACCACTTTTGGACACACTACGCGATTATGCAGCATCCAAATGGACCGTTTAGGAATTGGTAAGTTCTGAGTTCGATCGTGGATATTGTAATGTGGAGGAACCATCCGGTATCTGCCAAGAAGGTCCTGAGAGATAGTTACGGCATTCTATGCATTAAGAAGCCAATTTTGGACACGCTACGCGATTATGTAATGTCCAACTGGACAGTTTAGAAACTGGTATGTTCCCGGGTTCCGTCGTGGATATCGGAATGTGGAGGAATCATACGGTATGGGTCAAGAGGGTCCCATGAAGAGCCTGTGGGTCGGAAGGACGTCCCACGTCTCTCCAGGCGTATCTCGAGAAAACGAGACGTCTTTTCCGATAAGAGGGCACGGACAAAAACAGAGACGAGGAAACATTCCTACGAGATTTTACGGTCCCCCCGGGATAAAAGGAATCCGTCGGAGAGGGTCGTAATTTTACAACGCGGACGGATCTCGGGTTTCTTTTTTATCGCCCATTATGAAAAATAAATTAGTAGGGAGATCTCTTTCGGAACACGTGCGGGGGTGAATTAACATCGTACGGGGAAAAGTCGGACGTCCCGAAACGTCGGGTTGGATATAATACTAAATTTCAAAAGGGGAACGAGTTTTTTGAAGCACCCCTCATGAGAAATTCCGGCCTGAACTCGATTCTTTAAGTGCGGCAATGCCGACAAAGGGCAACTACGTGTTCCAAAAGCATCGCCTTCCTTTGATCCTCCGAGCCTTAGAACGAAAGTTAATTTCCAAAGGGGCGACTGACTCGTCTTTGTTTCATCCATCGGTCAGCTCGACGACTTTGCCCACTCTTTCAACCCCCTCGAAACCGTGTGGAAACCGGGGTTGACCCAACTTGACAAATTTCAACCCCGGTTACCGAGAGCTCCTCTCTTTAATAAGCCGACAAAGAGAACCTACTAGCATTTACAAAAACATACGCGAGGACTTTTCGCCGCCCTCCGTTCGAATTCTACCTGGGCAGAAATCCGTCCAGGACGACAGGACGACATTATCAATTACCAGGGCCAGATTGTAAGTTAATTTAAAAAACACGAATAAAATAAAATTCAAATTTAAAAAAAATGTAAACAACGATATACCTGTGAATTGTTTATATCCACTCAGGAATTTTGTCTTCCACCATCTGACGAGGTAATTGGCCATGGTCTTCGATCTGAAATTAATAAGGACCACTCGCAAAAAAAATCACAAGAAACCACATCACAGATCGAACATCGGCTTTCAAGTTCACGGTCACAATTCGAGAAAAACTCTACCATACGCGTACGAAAAAGTTACAGAATGAATAATAACAACGAGGAAAAAAAAAGTGTTATTATTTTTATTTGTTAAAATCCGGTATGGTGTAGAACGCGGAAGAAGAGAAGAGGTTCACAACTGAGCCTGACTGAAGTGAAGAGAATTGTAGAAGAGAAGAGTACGAGAGGGGCGGTGGGGATTGGGATTTTGGCCGGGTGGGGGGGTCTATTATCTGTCGGCGTTTCTATAAAGGAGTCCCCAGGACCGACCATGTGGTCCCCCCGGACCCTCCCATTACATACAACTAATTACAAACTATACCTGACAAATGCTCAGGTACGCCCAGACAAAAGAGCCGGGACAATTTCCTCTTGCCTACTCTCAAGTTTTCCACGGCCTCAATCCTCCCTGGGATAGATTCGGGGAATTTATTAATACGGATTTTTTTAAGGACCTTCGGTTTGTAGTTTTTTTTCTCCCTTCCTTTTACTCTTCCTCTCCAGGGGGGAATGTTTGTTTGTGTGATGGTCCATCCGAGGGAGGGCGGCTGGTGACGTTGCGAATCAAAAATTGTCATTAAAAAAAACAAGAAACGAGATTAAGGCATCGCATGTTCACATGTCTGGACTGAGGAAGCGTTTTTCCAGTCCGAAGGTGTGTGTGTGTGTGTCCTCTTGTATGCGCACGCCTGCGGGTGGTTGGTCCGATGGTTCGTGCCTGGAAGACCAACTGGAAAAGTTCCTATTAGAAACATGTCCGAACTAAGGAAACTTTTCTCCAGACCAAGAGAAAGGGGGATAGATAGATTGGTAGATAGATAGAGAGAGGTAGATGGTGAGAGAGAGAGAGAGAGAGAGAGATGAGAAAAGGACGGAGAGAGAAAAGGACAAAGAATGAAAGTGGATGAAATAACGTGTGAGAGAAAAAGGGAGAAAGAAATAAAATGTCAGAGAGGCGCAGTGGGGTAGATATTGTGAATGAGAAAAAGGGATAGAAAGAGTGAGAGAGAAGGGGAGAAAGAGAAAAACGAGTGATAGAAAGAGGAAAAAAGAGAGGGGGAGAAATGTGAGGGAGTGGGAGAGAGAGTGGGGGAAAGACAGAGAGGAGAAGAAAAAGGAAGCGCGCGAGAGAGAGAGAGAGAGAGGGAGAGAGAGAACTAGTGAGATAAAATGAGATATAGGAGCAAGATGGAGAGGGAAAGAAAGGGAGAGGTAAAGAGAGGAAAAATAGAGAGTACGAGTAAGCGAAAGAAATAAAGAGTGAGAGAAAGGGAAGAAAAGAAGAAAAAGAGAGAGAGAGAGAGAGAGAGAGAGAGAGAGAGAGAGGGTGAATAAGATAAAAGGAAAAAAAAGAGGGAGAAAGATGGAGAGGGAAAGACAGGGAGAGGTGAGGAAAGGGAAAAATAGAGAATGTGAGTAAGAGAAAGAAATAAAGAGTGAAAGAAAGGGAGAAAAAGGTAGAAAGGGAGCGGAGGAGAAAGAGAGTGAGAGAAAGGGATAAAAACAGGGACTAACTTAGAAAGGGAGACGTAGAGAAAGAGAAAATAGAGAGTGTGAGTGAGAGAAAGAACTAAAGAGTGATAGAAAGAGATAAAAAGGAAAAACGTGAGAGAAAGAGAGAGAGAGGATGAGAGGGATAAAGATAGTGTCAATGAATGGAAGAAATAAAGTGTCTGATTAAGGGAGAAAAGGAAGAAACGAAGAGAGAGAGGCAAAAAGAGATTCTGTAAGTGAGAGAAAGGGATAAAAAGGAATGGAGAGGGAAAAGTGAGAGAAATAAAGAAATAGTGGGGTTGATGAAGGTAGAAAGAGAGTGTGGTGATTAGTGACCGTTAATCGGTAATTATTCAGAAATCGTAAGATGCGGTCTGCTGTAGGATCCAACGTATATAAACATAAAACAGCAAAATCTCACTCTCAACACGACACGCAAGAATGGTACAATTGCACAGAAGACAAACACTTTGAGTGACTAGAAATACTTTGATTGAATAAAAAAAAATATATTTTGCATTGTATAAATTCACTTTTCCACATTCTAAATGTTTGTTAAATGTAAACAATGTTTGAAAATCCCAGGCCCTGAAGATGATCTCAATAAAGATCGAAACGTTGGCACGATAAAGAATATGTTTTTCTAAAACCTACATCACACCAGACCGCATCTCACGATTTCTGAATAATTGTAGAAAGAGAGATAGATATCGGGAGAGGGAGTGAGAGAAAGAGCGAGTGGTAAAAGGAGGGATGGAGAGGGAGAGATAAAGTGAAAGCGAAAGAGTGAGAATGTCATGCAGAGAGAACGAGAGGGTGAGAGAGATTGATTGCTTGAAGGGCACTGGTGTTAAAGTTTCGATTCGAAACGGGTTTTAGATATGAAAAATAAATAAGCATTGATGTCACATGCTTGAACAAAAACAACTTTAGCACCGGATTTCATACACAATAAATAAATCAAAAGATATATATGCACACATTACATATGTAAATACATGTTGAGAAGGTGAATCGGCTAAACAGGCCAAGGAAAACCTTGAACCTGACGTAACCGTATTTCATTGATGTGCATCTGAATTACAGCATGTGCAATAAGAAAGAATTTAAACGAAAAAAATACTGCGATGATCATTTGAGTCATATTATTTATTGTGCGATAAATTTAAAAGAAAAAAGTTTCGGGTAAGAGAGACGAATTTGTGATCCTTCATTGCTGGAAGGAATGAAAGGACGGCTGGTAAGGTTGCGAATAAAAAAGCTACTTAACGAGAAAAAAGTTTAATCCCAGAACAAAGGGACTTCATAGTTTCATAAACAAAATGTCGTAAAACAAAAACAAATAAATAAATAAGAAGTATATGCTGTACGTAAACCAGTTAGAACCGGCCGAATGCCGATGAAAACAGGACTCTAACGTAACCGGGACTTCATTCATGTATATTTTCTTCTTTTTTTTAATATACCCCGGCTACTTAGTTTATTTTATCCACAGCTACTAAAATGAGAGAAATTTTTCTTCAATAATACATATAATACAACAAGGTTGGCTTACGGTTTAGCTCCTATGTCCGCATTATTCAACATTTACATTAATGTGTGGTGATTAGCGGCCGTTAATCGATAATTATTCAGAACTCGTGAGATGCGGTTATTTACATTAATTTTTTTTTCTAAGACTTTAGGTTGAGATAAAAAAGTCAGTGTCACGAGCGGAATTCGAACCCACGACTTTCGGCTCAATACCACTTGAGCTATTGTGACTTCGATCCACTCGGACACCAACTCCTCATCCCAACCCACAACCGTTTGAATTTTCCCTCATTTTGCCTTTTGAGCCGAAGGTCGTGGGTTCGAATCCCGCTCGTGACACTAATTTTTCATCTCAACCAAAAGCCTTAGATTAAGAGAATAATTAATTGGAATAGTTAATCAATTATGATCACTAAGGAAATATGGATTGATTTAATAATCGAAAAGAAGTAATTACTTCACTAACAGCTCCTCTTGGCCACTTCGTGAGACGGTGAGAATTGAATCCTGATTACACGACATTTGAAAATATGGCAACAAGAGGGTAAATTCGAACGGTTGTAGGTTGGGATGAAGAGTTGGTGCCCGAGGGGATCGAAGTCACGATAGCTCAAGTGGTTAGAGCGGCGGCGTATTGAGGGTCGTGGGTTAGAATCCTACTCGTGACATTGATTTTTCATCTCAACCAAAAGCCTTAGATAAAAAGAATAATTAATTGGAATAATTAATATGGTCTAATGGATATATTCTGTTGGATATTTGTAGATGAAGATAAGAGCTAAAATAACCACCAATTTTGTTGAAATTTTTCTCTCCTTTATTACTTTCCTTTTACCACAAGGTGTAAAAAAGTCAAAAAACACAAAATCAGAGAGAATTTCTAGATATTTTTTGTGAGAGCTACTGTAAACTCTTGTTATCCTGTGAAAATAAGATCTAAAAATACGATTTTTTTTTATTTTGTAAATATTTTTTTTCTCCTTTATATTTTTCTGTTAAAACAAAGTAAAAAAAAGCCGTAATATTTAGGGAACGTTAATTAATGATTATTTAGATATCGTGAGACCGCATCTCACGATCTCTAATTAGTACAACAAAAAGTCGAAAAACACAGATTTTCAGGATTGTTCTATATATTGTTCAACGTGAGAGCTCTTAAAAACTTGTCATCCTGTTAAAAACGCATACATGAAAGTAAGATCTAAAAACTTCGATTTTTTGAGATTCTGTAAATATTTTTCTGCTTTGTTACTTGCCTGTTAATGGGGTACGGGCCTACTCAGGCTTTTAACCCCTCGGGTCCTGGTCGCCCGCCCTGTGTAATATATAATACTTGCCTGTTAACATAAGGTACAAAAAAAGTTTAAAACCCAAAAATCTGTGCTATTTTCTAGATATTTTTCATTGTGCCAGCTACTATAAACTGTTGTAATTAAAAATTATCAATGTTTGCAACAAAAGTTTATTCTCCCCCCCTTTCCTAAAATCTTTTATCACCCCTATCAACCTTATACAGGGTTATGTAAGGCTTTGGTTGAAATGAAAAAGCCAGTGCCAAGAGCGGGATTTGAACCCACGACCTTCAGCTTTTTCATTTCAAGCAAAACCTTACATAAACAGACTAATTAACTGAAAGAAGTAATTTGGTCAATAGACCACTAAATATAATAGACTTATATAGGGTGTTCGGCTACTCGTGTTACATCTTTGCCCGTAGATTCTACATTCAAAATGGAACCAAAAAGGTCTAATTAACTATGGTCCGAATCTCCGCAGTTTCGGAGTTATTCTACTTTTTATGATTTTTTAAGATTTCACGACCTTGCTTCAAATAAACAATGATAACTCCAAAACAAAGGTTTTGGACAAATCCGTTCACACCTTTGAAAACTACGTTAAATTTCCAATAAGATGTGATGAATTCGGAACTTGTAAACCATTCTAGTAACGAGGACTTTGAAAAAAAAAAATTTCCAAGTTGAAAACCTATGATGATTCTCAACTACTATTTCCAAATCTGGTGACCAGCAAATTTCAGAAAACGGAGTACGTTTAATATCCTTTTTAGTGGTGCAATTGCTTTTTTAATTACTTGTTTTCAAAGATGAAGAAATTTGTGATG